TCACAGTTACCACAAACTAATTAGTTCTCATTTGATTAGGCCCCTATATATATATATATTTATATATAAAGAGAGAGAGAGGGGGGTTAAATATAATTAGTATAGATATATCTTGATTTTAATGTTTTGCTTTATATTTTGGGTCTATCGTTGTTATAATACGATTTTATGCGGTTTTGAGAAAAAGAAAATGTTTTCATTTTTAAATAAATATCAATTTGAAGAAATTATAAAATTTTAAAAAAATAATCGATATTATTATCAAATTAACTATTTAACAATTCTCGTTTTTGTGTAATTTCTTTAATTCAAATTTTTATTATAATTTAATTGAAGTTTAAAAACGAACTAATTTATTTTTTGTTTAAAAAAGTTATTTTTTAATATGATAATTAAGTATTCTGTTAGAATTCAATTATTTTCCTAATTATATTTTAGATTTTTTATATTTAAAATGAGATGTTTATCCGTTATTTGATTATGTTTATCTGCAGTTAGTTATACGAATTCAAACATGAAACTTTAATAAGTTGTACATAATTTAGATGTAATCTTCAATTTAAGTAATATGCATCAATAAACAGTACTTCATGCATAAAAATGGTTTTTAAGAGTTTTCATCAAATGTTTTATAATATATATATATATATATATAGAGAGAGAGAGAGAGAGAGAGAGAGAGAGAGAGAAAGAGAGAGGTTAGATTGCAAACCGCCTATTTCATAGAAACTATAGAAACCAATTTCAACCAACAGGAAAATTCCATGTTTTATTTTTTATTTTTTTAATGAATAAGGGTATGAATGTCATTTTACTTTGTAATGGTTAATCTTGGTAATGTTTTAATTGTTTTTAAATATGGAAAATTAAATATAATAACTGTTTTATGGAAGCTGTAAATCAATTTATTTTAATATATAATTATTACCATTAATAATTTATATTCTTTTATTAAATTATATTCCTAAAATATGAATTGTAAAACTATACTCCTAAAATCAGTTTGATTGTAAATAATTAACAGTCTAATAATGTTTCAATAACTATAAATGAAATAGTTTCATATATGGTTCACAACACCATGTCAAATGGTCCATCTTTCATTCAAGGTGACAAGGAGTCTTATAAATTCATTCAAGAAAGAGTGAAACAGTTTCATATATTGTTTTGTTTTCATTCATAAAATAGATGTCACTAATGAAACCACGTTATACAGTTTTCAAAATGTTTCAAAAATAAAACTAATTTCATTTTGGTTATAAACTATGAAACTACTTTCATTAATGAAATAATAGTATTCAAATCTTAAAAATGTTTCATTGACTGAACCATATTTGGTTTCATTAATAAAACCAATTTCATCTTGGCTATAAACCATGAAACTGATTCCATTTTGGTTAGAAAACATGAAATAAATTAAAAAATGAATGAAATATTATTATTCAATTGTTGAAGTGTTTCATTGATTGAACAATATTTAGTTTTATATGTAAAACCGAGTTCATCTTGGTTAGAAACCATGAAACCGATTCCATATTGTTTAGAAAATATTTCAACAATTTTCACTGCTGAAACAATGTCATTCAGTTTTTGAAATTGTGGAGTCTATAAAACAAATTTCAATGATGAAACGAATTTCATTAACGAAAATATGTTATTCAAACTTTTGGAGAATGTTCTATTGACTGAACCATATCTGGCTCAAATTTCATTATACAGACGAACAATAAAACAAATTTCACTAACGAAAAAATGAGATAGAGTTTCCAAAATATTTTTATTGATGAAATCAATTTCCAAAAATGAGACGAACAATGGTTTGCCAAATTTGCCCTTTCTTGATTAAATATTAAACCTTTTATTTTATATTATTTTATTTTTTACTTCCTAATATAACATATTTTAATCATGACCATTGATCAAAAAAATGGATGAATGAGATTGGTTTATACGGTTTGCACAAAAGGGGATGATTTGCATTTGATCGCTCCCCCCTCTCTCTCTCTCTTTATATATATGTATATATATATATGTATATATATATGTATATATATATATATAGAGAGAGAGAGAGAGAGACTTGGGATCACGTGAGACTAACTTGTTTTCGTGAGACCCATGTGACCATTTTTTTACACTTGAAACTTCACAGCAAAACTCTGTGAAAGTAACCTTCACAGTATTTTTGTTGTGAAAGTTCATTTTTTTTTACTTTCACAGCGTTTTGCTGTGAAGTTTCACGTGTAAAAAAATGGTCTCACGAGTCTCACAAAAACAAGTTGGTCTCACGTAAAACCAACCATATATACACACACATATGCATGTGTGTGTGCGTTTACACCCACACATTTCCAAAGGCTTCCCCTTTCATCTCTGTTTATATTGCCTCCTCCCTCCGACCACCATCTCCTCCTTCGACCTCCCCTTTCCATCCTCATCCATGTTCATTCCTTCTTTCGACCACCATCTCCGACCTTCACCCTTCCATCCCTGTCAACAACTTGCAACCGACTCACGCACACAATGAACCTACACCCATTATCGTGTTCCTTCCATTCTTTAGGTTTTTTCATTGAAACCCTGAAGCATCAAAACCTAGTTGTGTCTATGTTATGTAAGGTAAAATAACTTCATCAAAAAACCCAATTTGTGGAGGGGCAAGGCTTCATCAAAGTGTCCCAGTAGGTGAAATCATTTGCATCAATCAACGATCTCACACAATACACACACTAGCTAGCACGTATTGGGTCCTTCACGTTATGGCCCTAGACCCGGGAGAGGACGATGTGGAGCAACGTGGGAAAGGGGTTCTGGTTTGGCAAAAGGTGCAACTCATCCTTTTGTTTACGTATATGGACTTGATCATATTGAACCCACCTATTTTTGGTCAAAGATGGTTGTGTTTATGTTTTTTTTTGTATGTAGGTGTCGTGTGGGTGAGATCGGACGAAGAGTGCCCGAATATGGGGGTAGGGTGACGTGTGTGTGGGTTGTAAGTGTTGAAGAGGATGGAAGGATGAAGGTTGGAGATGGTAGCCGAAAGGAGGAATGGACGTGGACAAGAATTGAAAAGGGCAGAGGGAGGAGGCGATGTCATCGGGGATGGAAGGGGGCGCCCGAAGGTGTATATATATAAAATATATAATCTATTATTATTATTATTATTATTATTATTATTATTATTATTATTATTATTATTATTATTATTATTACTACTATAATTTTAATAGGAAAAAGACAAAAACAGAGTTAAAAAGTCAAGTTGGCCCTTAGTTAACATATAAGAATTAATTCCGTTAGAGATAGGGCCTAATTCATAACGAATGCAAACCACGAAGATACTGAGTGTACTTATTTAGAAATAGAACCATATCCAAAATTTGAATAAACCATAAGGACCAATGATGTAATATACTCTTATTATAGAGGAGAAGAAACTCCAAAATCTCAAATTAATTAAAAAAAATTCTATTTTCTTTGCCAATAATTTTATAATAACTAGAAGCATACCCGAGCAATATAATAGAACTTCTGCGATATAATAGAATGCAAAATATAACTTTTAATTGCAAACCAAAGCAGTCGACTTGTTTTAAATTTGTTTTTATGATTTTTATTTTTATTTTTTTGGAATTGATTAATTTGATATGTAGTTTTCATAAATATCAATTATTTTGTTGTTTATTTGATTGATCATAACCTTGTATTTGGAAATGATAGACAACATTTTCAA